CATAGACTCTGGGTCTGAGCAAACCCTTTTGAGCATCAAGGTGTTAGATCATGAAGGAGCACCAGACGCCATACAGAAACGTTATGGTGTGACAGGACATTCTACAAGATTGTGGGGACAATTGTGGGTAACTATTGAACTCATGGGCATAAAGGACAAACAGAAAGTATACTTGGCTGACATTGAAGACGAATGCATATTAGGATTGGACTATCTACTACCGAGAAAGTTTGTAATTGATTTTGATAAAATGATGTTTGGGAACAACAAAGGCCAAGTTCTGGTAACTGTCAAAAGAGAGGTTGAACTGATTGGGTGCTATCGGGCTGAAGTCAAGCCGATTGAAAAAATTGATGATGATGAAGTGGAACTAAATACAGATATCAAAGCAGAACAGGAGAAAGACCAAGATTTGAAGCCTATAATTGATTTCCTAAAAGCAAGTGTTGTGCGTCCTGCTTGGGAGAAAATGTCTAGTCTAAGCCCTGTGATAAAGCACTATTGGGCACAATGGGAGCAATTGAAGCTTGAAAATGGTAATCTTGTCTGGAGATGGGAAACTACAGATGGGAAAGTGACGATTTGGCAAACAGTTATACCGAGGAAGTTACGGAAGTTGTGCTGCGTCAGTCCCATGATAATTTAACAGGAGGACATCTCGGAGTTAGGAAGACATTGAGTCATCTACGACAAAGATTTTATTGGATAGGTATGAGGTGAGATGTGGAAGAATGGTGCCGGACATGCAGTACATGTAGTGCTAAAAGGGGACCCAAGCATAAGGGATGCCCACCTTATGAACAGTTGCCTGTGAATATGTCAGAGTTTGTGGAAGTGTTATCAGAAAGGATGGATGATATCCACCATCAAGTGTGTTCAAACTTGAAAACGTCTGCTGATTCGATGAAGTTAACTTATGATAAGAGATCTACTGAAGCCAAAAGTGGTGCATGCCAATAGGCTTTGGCGTTATCACGGTCCAGGACATTTCAGTTGGGACAAAGTGGAAAACAGAACAAATGATGCTGCTGAAGACGTGCCACCTGAAGAAGCCACCGTCAAAGAAGAAACTCTACTCAGTTTTGAGAAGGGAAACGGTGAAGCTCTTGGTGAAGTTACTACCACTGATGTGACTTTTACTGATGATAGGACATTTACTGATGAAGCAGATGACCCCCACGTGAAGCAGAAGCCAATGAGACGGAGACCAGTACGGAAGAAGATACGTCCCGTAAAATTAAAAGACTTTGTTGAATTGTAATTTTGTGTTTGTAATTCTGTACAGTTAATTAAGTTATTGTTAATTGTTATTGGTTTATTGTATGTGGTTATTGTTCGGGACGAACAATACTAAGGAGGGGGCGGTGTTGCGTCATCGAGATCATGTGACTATTCTCACGCCCTCTAGTTTCTATAACTATCTTGTTTCTTCACGAATGCCCTAGCATTTACTAGATAGGGTAGTCTGGTATATATAAGAGGGTGACAACGTGACGCGGGAATGTGTGTGTAGGTAATGAGTAATTGAACTGCGTTCAGAGAGAGACGTATTGTTGAAGTTAACGTTCGTTCGTTATAGTGTTTGTTTTAGCGCGAATATTGAAATTAAGTGTATCGTAAAGTTATATTCGGAAAGAATAAACCAGTTTTATTAAGTAAAGACTTGTGTCGTTAAAGTTTCGTCGGAACGAAGTTACGGAAAGTTAATTAACAAACGGAGACGTAACAGTGTGTTAAAGTACATGATTTTTCATAGCCTCAGTCAGTATTATAATATGGAGTTATAAATTGGGGAGGAATATATTTCAACAACTTTAAAACCAGTTCCAGTTTTTGTAGATATGCCCATTATTGTTACGCCTCCATTCGTTAGTTAATTTTCCGTAAAAAATTCTTTCCGAAGAAACTTTACCGATACAAGTCCGTTCTTAAATAAAACTGGTTTATTCTTTCTGAATATAACTTTGCAATACACTTAATTTTCACAGTCACGCTATAACAAACGCTATACTTCAGAACGAACGCCTCACGTGCTCGACTCAACAATATGTCACTCTCTGTCCGCAGTTCAATTACATCATTGCCGTCACGTCTTGACCGTCTTATATATATGAAAGAATACCGAAATCTAGTAAACACTCGAGCATTCAGGAAGGGACAGGACCCTTCTAGAAGTTCATGACGTGTTACTAGCGTCACATGAATTTCGCTGTCGTAACAATATGATCAAATGCTCCTACTTTAAGGTGAAGTTTGGTTTCACCAATACAGAAATGCCCTTCAGTCTTCACACATTTATGAATAGATGAGATGTAAACAACTGGCAGTCAGTACATGATTTTTTTAGCAGAAACAAATTTTTAATCTGAAATTGGGTTAAAAACAACTTTCAGGTCAATTTGAGGATAGTGAGAGTTACATAATATTTTCAACTGTTTCATGATAAGGGATCTCTGTCTTCCAAGATATGGTAAGCTAGTGTGTAAGGGAAGTTTGGGTACAGTGGGTATCTTAGGTGGTTTGACAAACAAATTAGTTAAAACTGAGTGAGTTGTTTTCTCCAAGAAATGCTTTTGGTAGCTATTTCGAAAAAGAATGCTTTGTATGAAACAAATTTCTTTGTGAAGGACTAAATAGAAAGAGATAAGGTTGTTTAGAATGAGACTGAAGTTTAGGTATAAACTGGGTGAAAAGACCAGGAAATGTGTTTTTTAAGATAGAAAGAAGCTGTAAAGTCATTAACATCATGATTAACCAAAATGTCCAGAAAAGAAATAAAGTTATTCATCTCATTTTCAAGAGTGAAGTGTATGTTGTGAAGTAAGATAGTCAAGAAAGTGTTGGATATTAAATTACATTTTCCAAAAGATGAGATATATTATCATTTAAACATTTGCTTATCTATAGATTGATGACATATGTATGAAATAAAATAACTTTGTACAGATTAAGCCTGTTATTTATTACAGTGAGGACTGAACTGTAAAATAACAGTTACAAAAGAAATAATGCATGAAATGGATATTTAGCACCTTAAGTTTTAATGCTTTATCAATAAATATAAGGAATGAAGATAATAAGATTAGATTTCAGAAACTACTGAGAGATTATTTGAAAAGTGCTAAAAATAGAATTTCTAAATATTCAAATGGCTTGAGGATAAAATGTAAATAATTTGTATAAATTTTTATTATTCTTTTAACTTTTATTATTATTCTAACATTTTTTTACTATTATAAATTAAACGTTTTGCATACTGTATTTATTTATTTTTGTTCTATTATGATGTATAAAAAAAAGGATAGCTTGTATAACAAACTGAATATATATTATATTAACTCAGACAAGAAATTGCCTTCAGTTGATTATATACAGTTGTTAATATCAAATTATAACTTAATATTTTCCCCATCTCTAATCATTGCAGTAATACAAGAAAGCTCTGACATGGCATGTGCTCTTAGTTCTGCTACATAAACATGATGGGTATCAGTAATATTATAACTAAAGTTTTTTTCTATTTTCATATCACTAACAATAAATTAATATATATATACATATTGTACCTCTTCGCTTTCTGGAAGAATCTTTTTGAATGTACGTAATCTTTCAGCACCAATTTCTGAGGATTGACAGTTTTTGACAAACTCCACAACTTCTTGCCCTGACTTAAACTGTCTCAGGAAAATGTTGATGTTCAAACTTCGTTTTCCATCCAGAAGGTTTACCTGTGTGTTGTTTTTCATTTAATACTAATTGCTGTTACAAGTTAAGCTATTTCAAATAAATAAGAGTGCTTCCATGAAAACACACTGGGTTTTTATAATCAGTACAAAGTTTTATAAAGATATTAAATGATACTGTTTTACTGGGAAAAAAGTCACATAATTAATCACATCTAGAACATATGAAAAAATTCTCTTTTATCAAGATACTTTAAAAATAATTTAAAAAAAGGTTTCTCACCAATCAAGTTTAGTTGTAAGGATACAAAGGAAGTGAAAGTTATTCATATGTTAGTCTCTGTTTTCAAACAGTAAGGAAAATTAATTAATAGAAAAATTATTAAATTCTGGTTTCATTTGGTGAGGAACTCAGCAGCATTATATGCAATGGGAAAAATCATTTCTTGGTGGTACCACAATTACAGAGTCAACATTATAACATCAATAATAAAATAATTTCTTGGTGGTACCACAATTACAGAGTCAACATTATAACATCAATAATAAAATAATTTCTTGGTGGTACCACAATTACAGAGTCAATATTATAACACCAATAATAAAATCATTTCTTGGTAGTAACACAATTACAGAGTCAATATTATAACATCAATAATAAAATAATTTCTTGGTGGTACCACAATTACAGAGTCAACATTATAACATCAATAATTAAAATCATTTCTTGGTGGTAACACAATTACAGAGTCAATATTATAACATCAATGATAAAATCATTCTTCCTGCCCATCCTTATTTCTAAAAGTTCATGTCTCTCAATTTTCTTTTTTTAAAAACTCATACCCATGAACTATTTACTGAGTTTATTAACAGCTCATGATGTGGAATATTTACTGAGTTTATTAACAGCTCATGATGTGGAATATTTACTGAGTTTATTTTACAGCTCATGATGTGGAATATTTACTGAGTTTATTAACAGCTCATGATGTGGAATATTTACTGAGTTTATTTTACAGCTCATGATGTGGAATATTTACTGAGTTTATTAACAGCTCATGATGTGGAATATTTACTGAGTTTATTAACAACTCTTGATGTGGAATATTTACTGGGTTTATTAACAACTCTTGATGTGGAATATTTATTGGGTTTATTAACAACTCTTGATGTGGAATATTTACTGAGTTTATTTTACAGCTCATGATGTGGAATATTTACTGAGTTTATTAACAGCTCATGATGTGGAATATTTATTGGGTTTATTAACAACTCTTGATGTGGAATATTTACTGAGTATATATATACAACTCTTGATGTGGAGTATTTAATGGGTTTATTAACAGCTCATGATGTGGAATATTTACTGGGTTTATTAACAGCTCATGATGTGGAATATTTACTGGGTATACTAACAACTCTTGATGTGGAGTATTTAATGTGTTTATTAAATACTCATTATGTGAAATATTTACTGGGTTTATTAACAGCTCATGATGTGACCTATTTACTGGGTTTATTTACAGCTCATGATGTGGATTATTTACTGGGTATATATATAGATCTTGATATGC